CCCCCGGCTCCCCGCTGGCCCTTCCCCCCTTGGCCCGGCTTCCCGTTTGCTGTTCCCCGTTCCCCGTGGTGTCCCCCCGGCCTCCGTTTCTCGTGCCTCTGTCTCGTTTGCTCTTTCGGGTCCCGTTCGTCGGTTTCTGCGTCTCTTCTCTTGCCTGCTCGTTGCCTTGGTCTCCCGTTGCCCTCGGTGGCCGCCGTCTGCCCCCCTTCGGCCTCTTCTTCGTCTGTGCTGGCTCCCGCCTCGGTTTTGTTCTGCGTTTCTCCCCCTTCCCCTGTGTCCTGTGGGTTGCCTGTGCTTGCTCTGTGTTCTGTGTGTGTGTTCCCCTTCGGTTGGTTGCGCTGGCTTGGTTCCCTGCGCTGCGGTTCCGCCCTGGCTGCGGTCCGCTGCTCTCTTGGGCTGCGGTCCCCCGTTTGGTTGCGCTCCCCGTTTCTCTCCGCGCTGCGGTTCTCCTTTTCCTGGCTGCGGTCCGCTGCCCTTCTGGGCTGCGGTCCCCTGTTTGGTTGCGCTCCCCCCTCTGCTGCGCTGCGGTTCCTCGGTCGGTTGCGCTCGCCCCTCCGTGTTGCGCTCCGGGGCCGGGTGCTGCGGGGCCGTGTCCGCGCTCTCTGCGCTGCCCCTCCTGTCTGGGCCTGCGCTTGGTCCTGTGGCGCCCCCCGTGTGTCTGTGTTGTGCCTGGCTGCGTTGTGCTTCCGCGTGTCTTGGGGCTGTGCCTCTGGGCTTTCTCTTGGGGCTTGTTCCTGGGCTTGTTTCTGCTTTGCCTTCTCTGCTTCTCTGTTGTGCCCTGCCTCTGCTCGTTCTCCCTGTTGCTTGTGTCTGGCCTTCTCTGTCGCGTCCTTCCCGGTTTTCCCGCTCGCGTTCGTCGGCTCTCTCTTCCTGCTCCCCTGGTTTTCGTCTCTCTCTCTCTCTCTCTCTCTGTCTTGTCTTTCCCCGCGTTGGCGTGGGTTCCCCGCCTCTCTCGCTGCCCCGCTCTCTTTGGCTTTCCGGCCCCGCCGCTTCCGTCCCTGGCGTGCGCTCGCCCTTCGCGCCGTCGCTCGTTTCCCTTTTGCCTGCGTGCCCCGTTTCCGTCCTTCCCCTTTGCGGCTCTTCGTTCGTTCGCCTGTGCCCTTGGGTTCTCTCGCCCCGGTGTGGCCTCGCCCCCGCCCGCTTGTCTTTCTCTCTTGGGCTTTCCTCCGCTTCTCCCTTTCTTCTCCGTTTTCCCTGTCTTGCCCCTCTGGGGTGTTCCCGTTGGTCTCCGCGCTTCCGTTTGCCCCTCGGCTCCGCCTCTTCCGCCCGGCCTTTCGGCCCTCGGCTTGCCCTCTCGGTCCTTCGGCCCCTCGGCTCCCGGCCTCTTCGGCCGCGCCGTGCGCTTGTGCCCCCTCCCCCTCCCCTCCCTCCCTTCCTCCCTCTCTCCCTTCCCGGCCCCTCCCCTCCGCTTCCCCCCCCGGTCCGGGTGCGCCTCGCTCCGTTTCCTTCCCCCCCTGGGTCCCGTCCCCTTCCCCGCTCCCTCGCCTCGTCCTCCCTCCCGTCCCCGCCTTGCCCCGGCCCCTGCCCCCCGCCCCGGCCGCTTTGGCTGCCTCCTCCGCCGCGGCGTTCCCGTCCGGCCTGCTCCCGGGCCGGCCTGCCCTCCGCCCCCCCCCCGGGTCCCCCGCTCCCCCCGCGTCCGCCCCTGCCCTGCCCCTTCCGCCCCGTTGCCTTCTCTCGGCCCCCCGGGTTGCGGCTCCCCCCCCGGCCGGCGCCCTCGGCCCCCTCTTCCCGTCGCGCCGGCCCGCCCCCCTTCGTCGCCTCCTTGGGTGCCCGGTCCGTCTCTCGCGCCCCTTGCGCCCCCCCCCCCCTTTCCCCTCTCCTCCGCCCTGCCCCCCCCGCCTCTTGCTCCCCTCTTTGTTGCCCCTCCCCCGCCTCCTTCCTTCCCTTCCGCGCCCCTTCGCCCCCGTCCTGCCCTTGCTCCCCCTTTGTTGCGCTTCCCCCCCCCTCGGCCCCCCTCCCTTGTTCTTGCCCTTCCTCTCCGTTCCTCTCCCCCCTCCGTTTGGCCCCCCTGTTCCCCCGTCGCGCCGCCTCCGGCCCTTCCCCTGCCCGGGGCGTGCCGCCCCGCCCTTCCTTGCTTCCCTCTTCCCCTCCGTTGTTCGCTCGGCCTCGGCGCCGTCGGTGGCGGTTCCGCCTCCGTCTCCCCCCCCCCTTGCCCGCCCCCGTGCCGGCTTCCCCGCGCCCCCCCCTGTCCGTCCGCCCCCGCCGCCCGCCCTGCGTTGCCCCGCGCGGGCCCCCCCTCCGTTCCCTGTGTCCGGGGCCCTCGCTCCCGCCCCCCTCGTCCCTCGGTGCCCCGGCCGCCCCTCCCGGCGGCCCTCCCGCCTTGCTCCGCCTTTCCTCCCCCCGGCCGGGCTGCCCCCCCTCGCCCCCGCCCGCCTCCCCCGCCCCCCCCTTCCCCTTCCGCCCCTCGCCCGGCTTCGGCGTCCCGCCCTCGGGGTTTGCCCCCCTCCCCCGCCTGGGTCCCGCCTTCTGGCCCTCCGCGGGGCCCGTGCCCGGCCCCCTCCGCGCCTTCCCCTGGCCGCCCTCGCGCCGCCGGGGCCTTCGCCCCGGGCCGCGCCGCTCCCCCGCCCTCTTCGCCTCCCCCCCGCCCCGGCCCCGGGCTCCCCGTTCGCCTGCCCGCCCCCCCCGCCCCCCCGGCCTCCTCCCTCGCCGCCCCGCGTCCTTCGCCCCTTTCCCTCCCCTTGCCCCTCCGTCCCCTTTCGTTCCCGCCTCCGTCCTCTCCCTCCCCCTCGCTCTTGCTCCCTCCTTCCCGCCCCCCCCGTCCCCGGTGGCCCCCTTCCTTCCTGTCTTCCGCCCTTGCGCCCTCGCCCCTCCGCCCCTCGCCTTTGCCCCCTCGCCCTTGCCCTTCTTCCCCCCTTTCCCCCCGCCTCCGCCCCCTCGCTCATCTCTCTTCTGTCTCTCTCCCTCTCGCCCCGTGCTTCCGGCTCCCTGCCCCTTGTCCGCTGGTCCTCCTCTGTCTCCCCGTCCCTTTTCTTGTGGCCCCCGGGCCTGGGCCTTGTCCGGCCCTGCCTCTGTGCCTTTTTGGGGTCTTTTCCCGCCGGCCTTGCCTCTTCCTCGTCCCTTCCCGCGGGTCCCCCCCGGGTCCTTGCTGGGCCCTTGGCGGCCTTGGCCGGCGCTTGGCCGGCGGCCGCCCGCCCCCCTCGCGCCCCCTGGTCCCCTGTGCTGCTTTCTTCCCCCCTCCTTTCTTGCTTGTGGCGCCCTTGTGTGCCTCGCTTGCTGCCTGTGCGTCTTGGGTCCGGCCCCCTGGCCGCCCCCCCTCGGTGTCCTCCGGTCCCCGCCCTTGCCGCCCGCCCCCCCTCGGCCCTCCCCCTCCCTTGCCTTGCCCGCGTCGTTGCCGTTCGGCTCCTCCGCTCCCCCGCCTCGGGCTGTTTGGCGTCCCGGCTTGCGCCCCCCCCGGCGGCGCGTTGGGCCTCGTGCTCCGGCCCCCCCCCCCTTCCCCGTCCCCCTGCTCCGGCTGGCCGGGCCTCCTCCCCCCCCTGGCCTCGTTCCCGCCCCTCCGCGGCCTCCTTCCCCGTTGTCTGGCCTCCCGCCCTCCGTCGCCCTGGTGCTCGCCCCCGGTGCCGCCCCCTTTCGCGCCCCGCCTCTCCCGGGTCCTTCCGGCCCCCCCCGGCCTGCGCTGCCTCGTCCCGTCCCCGCGTCCTCCCCCCCGCGCTTGGTCCCCGCCTGCGCTTTCCCCCCCCGGGCCCGCCCGGCCCCCTTCCTCCTTCCCCTCCCCCCCCGGGCCCCCCTGCCCGCCCCTCGGGTCCGCCCTGCCGTCTTCCTCCGCCTTTCCTCCCCTCCCGCCGCCTGCCCTTCCCTCCGCCGCCCTTCCCCCCCCGTCCCTCGCCTCCCCCGCCCTTTGGGCCGCCTTTGGGCCGTGCGCCCTCCGCGCTTGGCTTGGTTGCCCCCCTTGGTCCCGCCTTGGGCGCCTTCCCGCCGTCCGTGTTGCCTCCCCCGGCGCTTCCCTCCCGCTCGCGCGCCGGCTGCCCCTTCGCCTGGGCCGCCCGGTCTCCCCGGCTCTTCCCGTCCCGCCCGTCCCCCCCCCGGCCGCGGCTCCTCCGCTCGTCCCGCCTCGTGCTCCCCGCCTCTCCCCCGCTCTCTTCCCTTGGCTCGCGCCCCTTCCCCCCTCCTCGCCGCCTTCCTTTCCCTCCCTCGGCCCCTCGCGCCCCTCCTTCTTTCCCCCCCTTTCTCCCCTTCCGCCCCCCTTCTTCTCCCCTGTTTTCCCGCTTCCCTCCCCGGTGGCCCCCTCCCCCCCTCCGTTGCCCCCTTGCCCCCTTGCTCCTCCTTCCTGCCTTCCCCTGTCCTCCCGTTTGCCCCCCCTCTCTTCGCCCTGTTCCCCCTCCTCGTTCCCCCCCCCCCCCCCCCTCGCGTCCCGTTCCCTTTCCCCGTCGCCTCCTTCTCTCTCGGCCCCCGGTTCTCCTCTTGCCTCGTTCCCCCCGGCCCTGCTTTCCCCGCTTCGGGCCGCCGCTTCTCGTCCGGGGGGCGCGTGTCCCCCCCCGTGTTCCGGCCTTCCCTCCCGGCTTCCTTCTTTCCTTCCTCCCGTTCCTCCTCCTTCCCTCTGCTTTCCTTCTGTTCGGTTTCCCTTTCCTTCCTTCGTCCGGTCCCCCCTGCCCCGTGGCCCCTTGCCCGCCTCCGCGTCTTCCGCCTCTTCGGCCTCCCGGCCGTCGGCCTTTTCCTCTTCCGCTTCTGCTTCGGCTCCTCTTTCCTTCCTCTGGTCCCCTCTGGCCCTGGCCCCTTCTCCCTCCCCCCGCCCTCGCCCTCTCCGGCCTCGCCTTCGTCCCCCCTCCCCTTCCGGCCCTCCTCGGCGTCTTCCCTCTCTCCCTCGGGCCCTTCGGCGGCCCCTCGCCTCCCCCCCCCCTCCTCTCTCCCCCCCCCCGCGTTCCCCGCCTTCCCCTTCGGCGCCCTCCCGCCCCCGCCCGCTTCCCGCCCGCTCCTTCCTCGCCCCGGCCTTCCTTCCGGCTCCGCGGTCCCCCCTGTCTCCCCCCCCCTCTTTTCCTCGCTCTGCTTCCCCCTTCGGGTTTCCCCCTCTTCTTGTGTCTTGGCGCGCTTCTGCTGCTTCTTCTTGCTGTTGCTGTGCTGCTCCCTGGGGCTCTTGCTCCTCTTGCTCTTGGGCGCTTCTTGCTCCTTCTGGCTGTTCTTGCTGCTTCTTGGCGTTCTTGCTGCTTCTGTGTTGTTCTTGCTCCTTGCTGTGCTGTCTCTTGCTGCTTCTGTGTTCTTCTTCCCGCCTCTTGCCCTTCGCCGCCGCCTCGTCTTCTTGTTGCTCTCCCCGTGCTTCGCCCCCTCGGTTGTCTCGTCTGCTCTTCTTCTTGGCTTCTCGGGTGGGGCCCTCGCCTGTTTGGGTGTTGCTTCTGTTTCGCCCCGCCTGCTCGGTTCTGTGCCGTTCGTTTCTCGTCTTTGCTCCGTTCCTTGTCTCCGTGTTGTCGTTCCTTGCGTTGTCCCGTGTCTCCGCCTGGTTTCGGGTTCCCCCCGGTTCCCGGGGCGCCCGTGCTGCCCCGCGTCCGTGGGGGGTCGGTGGGGGTCGGGGCCCCGCCCCCTCCCCCGGCCGTGCCCCCGCCCGGCCGCGGGCCGCCGGCGGGCGGGCCGCTGCCCGCCGGCGCCCCGCTGCCCGGCCCCGTCCTCCGGCGGGCCGCCGGCGGGTGGCCCCCCCCCCCCGGCTCCCCGCTGGCCTTCCCCCCCTCGGGCTCCCGGCTTCCCCGTTTGCTGTTTCCCCGCTCCCCGTGGTGTCCCCCCGGCCTCCCGTTTCTCGTGCCTCTGTCTCGTTTGCTGCTTTCGGGTCCCGTTCGTCGGTTTCTGCGTCTCTTCTCTTGCCTGCTCGTTGCCTTGGTCTCCCGTTGCCCTCGGTGGCCGCCGTCTGCCCCCCTTCGGCCTCTTCTTCGTCTGTGCTGGCTCCCGCCTCGGTTTTGTTCTCCGTTTCTCCCCCTTCCCCTGTGTCCTGTGGGTTGCCTGTGCTTGCTCTGTGTTCTGTGTGTGTGTTCCCCCCCTTCGGTTGCGCTCGGCTTGGTTCTCCTGCGCTGCGGTTCCGCCGCTGGCTGCGGTCCGCTTGCTCCTCTTGGGCTGCGGTCCCCCGTTTGGTTGCGCTCCCCCGTTTCTCTCCGCGCTGCGGTTCGTCCTTTTCCTGGCTGCGGTCCGCTGCCCTTCTCTTGGGCTGCGGTCCCCTGTTTGGTTGCGCTCCCCCCTTCTGCTGCGCTGCGGTTCCTCGGTCGGTTGCGCTCGCCCCCTCCGTGTTGCGCTCCGGGGCCGGGTGCTGCGGGGCCGTGTCCGCGCTCTCTGCGCTGCCCCTCCTGTCTGGGCCTGCGCTTGGTCCTGTGGCGCCCCCCCGTGTGCTTCTGTGTTGTGCTCTGGCCGCGTTGTGCTTCTGCGTGTCTTGGGGCTGTGCCTCTGGGCTTTCTCTTGGGGCTTGTTCCTGTTGGGTTCTGCTTCCTTGTTTCTGCTTTGCCTTCTCTGCCTTCTCTGTTGTGCCCTGCCTCTGCTCTGTTCTCCCTGTTGCTTGTGTCTGCCTTCTCTGTCGCGTCCTTCCCGGTTTTCCCGCTCGCGTTCGTCGGCTCTCTCTTCCTGCTCCCCCTGGTTTTCGTCTCTCTCTCTCTCTCTCTCTCTGTCTTGTCTTTCCCCGCGTTGGCGTGGGTTCCCCGCCTCTCTCGCTGCCCCGCTCTCTTTGGCTTTCCGGCCCCGCCGCTTCCGTCCCTGGCGCGCGCTCGCCCTGCGCGTCGCCGTCGCTCGTTTCCCTTTCGGCCTGCGTGCCCTGTTTCTGTCTTTCCCTTTGCGGCTCTTCGTTCGTTCGCCTGTGCCCTGGGTTCTCTCGCCCCGGTGTGGCCTCGCCCCCCGCCCCTTGTCTTCTCTTTTGGGCTTTCCTGCGCTTCTCCCTTTCTTCTCCGTTTTCCCTGTCTTGCCCCTCTGGGGTGTTCCCGTTGGTCTCCGCGCCTCCGTTTGCCCCTCGGCTCCGCCTCTTCCGCCCGGCCTTTCGGCCCTTCGGCTTGCCCTCTCGGTCCTTCGGCCCCTCGGCTCCGGCCTCTTCGGCCGCGCGGTGCGCTTGTGCCCCTCCCCTCCTCCCCTCCCTTCCTCCCTCTCTCCCTTCCCGGCCCCTCCCCCTCCGCTTCCCCCCCCCGGTCCGGGTGCGCCTCGCTCCGTTTCCTTCCCCCCTGGGTCCCGTCCCCTTCCCCGCTCCCTCGCCTCGTCCTCCCTCCCGTCCCCCGCCTTGCCCCGGCCCTGCCCCCCGCCCCGGCCGCTTTGGCGCCTTCCCCGCCGGCCTGCCCCGTCCGGCCTGCTCCCCGGCCCGGCCTGCCCCCCCCCCCGGGTCCCCCCCGCTCCCCCCCGCGTCCGCCCCTGCCCTGCCCTTCCGCCCCGTTGCCTTCTCTCGGCCCCCCCGGGTTGCGGCTCCCCCCCCGGCCGGCGCCCTCGGCCCCCTCTTCCCGTCGCGCCCCGCCCGCCCCCCTTCGTCGCCTCCTTGGGTGCCGGTCCGTCTCTCGCGCCCCCTTGCGCCCCCCCCCCCCCCTTTCCCCTCTCCTCCGCCCTGCCCCCCCGCCTCTTGCTCCCCCTCTTTGTTGCCCCCTCCCCCCCGCCTCCTTCCTTCCCTTCCGCGCCCCTTCCCCCCCGTCCTGCCCTTGCTCCCTTTGTTGCGCTTCCCCCCCCCCTCGCCCCCTCCTTGTTCTTTCCTCTCGCCCTTCCTCTCCGTTCCTCTCCCCCCCCGTTTGGCCCCCCTGTTCCCCCCCGTCGCGCCGCCTCCGGCCCTTCCCCTGCCCCGGGGCGTGCCGCCCCCCCTTCCTTGCTTCCCTCTTCCCCTCCGTTGTTCGCTCGGCCTCGGCGCCGTCGGTGGCGGTTCCGCCTCCGTCTCCCCCCCCTTGCCCGCCCCCGTGCCGGCTTCCGCGCCCCCCCGCCTGTCCGTCCGCCCCCGCCCCCGCCCTGCGTTGCCCCGCGCGGGCCCCCCTCCGTTCCCTGTGTCCGGGGCCCTCGCTCCCCGCCCCCCTCGTCCCTCGGTGCCCCGGCCGCCCCTCCCGGCGGCCCTCCCGCCTTGCTCCGCCTTTCCTCCCCCCGGCCGGGCTGCCCCCCTCGCCCCCGCCCGCCTCCCC